ATACCCATTAAGACGCCATTTCCATAACTTAGGTGAGAAATTAAACACCGGAACTAGGACAGTACCAAGGAGATTTAGATAAGAAACCAGATTTTAGACATTGTGAGGTAGAAACAACAGGGGAAGTTGTACACCGGTGATAGGGAAGCAGAAGTCAAGCCCCAGGATGGATGTCCTGCAGGGATGAACAGGGTTCTTCCCCTCTATTTGTTGATCTCATGGCACCGCACCACAAATGCCTGAGCCGGCTTTCATGTCTGCCAGCAAGTAGGGCCACGGGGGAGCCATGGCCAGTGGTTGGTGCTGCCGACGTGGTGCTTCCCACCATCCAAACACCAAAGCATGCCAACATGCTCGGCTTACTAGGGGGAAAACATGATGACAATATTCAGAAGACCCACATCGAAACTGTGGTTCTCCCATGAATCTGACATACGATCTACAGAGAGTAACTCTCAGTCTTCAGCTTTTGAACCCTTGTGGCTTCTGTGGGGTCGACAACGTGCTTTGGAAACTGAAAAACCCTGTACATAGTGGGGATTACTAATGTTCTGTCACTGTCTCATCAAGCAACCTCTTCCATCCTCATCTCTGTTTGTACCTAGGTATTAGCACCTGACCTGAGGCATCTATCTCTCTGTATCTGCTCATCTCCCACCCTAACCGTCTCTTCTTTTTTTGTTCCTCTGATCCTGGAATTGAGAGCTATTTAGTACAAGGTTTACCATAAAGGAAAGCTTTCTCCAAAGTAATGCCATTTGCTACCCAATATGGATATCCATCTCTTTTCCACAGTGAAAGAAAGTTCCACATTTTGATACTAGTTGAATGTGTGAAATACTACCATAACAACCTTCTCTGGGATTTTCTGAATCGTAACAAATTACAGATCTTAGGACCCTTTAACATTGACCCTAAAAGTCCACTGCCTTCACTCTCTTCTCTATATCATTAAATATGCCTCAGATTCAAAAGCTAAATGAAGAGCAGTGATCTGTCCCAACTCTGGATTAAAAACAAAAACAAAAACTAAACAAAACAAAAAACCAAAACATAAACAAACAAAACAAAACAAGACAAAAACAACTTTGTGTTGGATTTATTGAAAAGTTGTTTGCTGATCTCCACACTCTCACCATCATGAAGAGGTTTTCAAGAAGATGTTAACAGCAGATGATTTTAGAATTTAACCAAATCCCCCGCTCCAGTAGGAGCCTACCCCCCACCCCAAGTTTTCCTGGGATGCATAGCATCAGTACTTCTCACACACTGTTAGGAAAACACCATTTTTCTTTAATAAAATGGAGGCTATGACAGATTAGGTTCAGGACAAGAAGTGGGTATTAAAGCTGACCTGCCCCTGGGTTGTTGTGCACTCAAGAGCAATGACTGACCTCCAGGTCCGGGTTCTGGTGCTTTCAGCCTGACTCACCTTATCTGAATATTGGAGAAAAGGCACATCGCACCTCATGGGCCTGGGCAGATAATGCACAGGACAAGAGTCTCGTGAACTGCAGGGCAGCTAGCCGATAGGAGCTTTTAGAAAAGAGCCAAAAGAAAAGATTCCACTGTGTCTTTAAGAGGATTTCCAGTGCGAAAGGAATATTTCTCTTATAAAAACTTGCTTATAACAATATTTTTCAAGGAACTCAGCTCAGATGGTCCAGGAAACACATTATGGTCTACTGTAGCATGCAAATTCACTACTCAGCACATTATGGGAACATAAATATAATCACGATTCCCCACACTTTATAGGTTCTCATGCTGCCTCCTTCCATTCTTTATTCTTTTCTTCTTGTCTCTCCTCTCCTTTTCTTTCCCCTCTTCTTTTATATTGCAGGGAAATCAAAGCAGCTCATCTCAAATATAGGAGAGATTTCATTCTTTCACTTAATAACAACAACAACTACTTTTTCCTTAAGAGGTCCAACATCAAATTCCTCGAAACCTCTCAATGTAAAAAAAGGTCATTGTTTTAAGGTAGGAAGGTCCGTTTTCCACCGGTGATTGAAACAACTGGAAATAAATGAAAGCCAGTGAAAAACCCGAATAGTCCTCCCTTGGCAATTATTTAGCCCTTGGAAATTTCCAAGCCCTCTGCAATCATTAATTAATTAGTGAAGATGTTCCACTTTACTGAGGCTGGAAGCGAGACACAAAGAGGTCTAGAGGCTTTCCCCAGGCTGAAAGAGAACTGTCAAGAGAGGAACTGGGATTATCTCCAGCCAGTCGTCACATCAGCAAGCCCAGCAGTGGCAATATTGGGACAATAAGAGCCTCCGGGCACAGGTGCAGTTGAATACAGCAGTGCTCTACCCAAAGACCAACTGTGGAAAGCCTACCCCTTCAGCCACCGGTGCCCCCACGACACACACAGGAAATGTCTGTAGCTTCATCGGCCTCTTTCCCCTTCCCTAAACAAAACACAGACAGACAGAGAAATACCAACCTCTAAGCACTCCCCTCTATCATGGCAGCAAAAATACAGGATTTAATTTTCATTTTTAAAATGCACAATATGATGTTAAAATGCATGGCATGGTTATAAATAAATATTTCCAAAAAATTTAAATGACAAGAAATTCCCGAATATCCAGAATCTGTAATAACGTAGTAGATCATCCTGAATCATGACCTCGTGCCACTAAGAAGGAAAATGAAGTTCTGTGCTTTCTGGTGAGTGGTTCATCAAAGCTGATTTCTGTACCCTGACTAGATTACCAAGGGCAAACCAAACGTTAATCATGTGGCTGCACCTGACATCGTAGATCCAGCTCTTGCAGTGGGTGCTGATTTTTTTCTCCCTACAATTCTGGATTGGTTCAAAAGGTGGAAGAGGAACTCCTGGCTCAGTCCTTCTCACCAGATGATTCCCTCCACCTAGACATACGTTTGCTCTGGATTATGTCTGTTTCCCCAGGTGGATGTTGGCGTTCTTAAACATAACCTGGGGCCCATCTCTTTCACAGATACATCAGTCGAGTTGCTCTAGACAGGGCAAAATGGCACGTCTATATGAGTTTAAGTGTTGATGGCAATTTTCCCAACCTAAACTCTTAATTCTCCATAGGAGAATTTGTTTCGGTTATACCAAGGTGAGGTGAAGTTGAATAACACCCTTTTTTTCTGACCTGGTTGTTTTCGGGTCCTCCTGGAAAAACTCTTCCTTGAAAACTGTAATGTTAATAAAGAGGAAGCCTATCCAGCTTGGCCATTCTGGATAAACTTTACATAAAAAACAAAACAAGGGGCACCTGGGTGGCTCAGTGGGTTAAGCCTCTGCCTTCAGCTCGGGTCATGGTCTCAGGGTTCTGGGATCGAGTGCCGCACCAGGCTCTCTGCTCAGCAGGAAGCCTGCTTCTCCCTCTTCCTCTCTGTCTGCCTCTCTGCCTACTTGTGATCTCTCTCTCTGTCAAATAAATAAATAAAATCTTGTAAAAAATCAAACAAAACAAAACAGAAAACAAAAAAACCCTTAATAAAATCTCTTTGCATGGAGAGATTTTGAAAAGAAGAGCCTTCCAAGAGTAATGTTTCAAAAACATGTATCATTGTAACGTGGAATCTTCATGCTGGAGAATGACGATGGCTGGTCCACTTTCATGTAATGAGAATTCATAAGGTTAACAGGTGCCTCCAGTTACTCACAGGCCCCACTGGGAAGGGTTCCTTTCATCTAAAGAACCTAAAATTCTTTCAGGACATAATAGAGCAGATGCTTTCATGTGAGAATCGTGATTTAGTAAACACCTTACCTGGAGAGCAAGGACCTAACAAATTTGTGTTATGATGTTGAAAATGTGATTAGGTATGTCTGGAAATTGACAATCTCAAGTGGGTAAAGGGTTACACATTGGCACGTATCCATACTTCCATAATCCACCTCAACAATTACCTTTTAACTTTCAGTTAATCAAGGGCTCTGCAGTTTCTGATTTCTCAAAGCTCTAGCTAAAACGGAGGGCTCAGTTCCAACCCAATTAATTGGAAACTAGCTTGGTTTCTCCATCACATCCCTTCCAAGTAATTCTCCTTGGTTCCTCTTGTCAGGGTGGAAGGAAACATCATCATGTCGGTTGTAGCACTCACGGACAACCCAAGTTGTAGTTGAGTAGGTATGTGTGGTATTATATCTTAGCTTTTCATAGGCAGTAACTGAATGCATTGACTTAAAAGACATGCATACTTGCAATTAAGTCAAACCACTGTCACAAAGAATTTTTAAAACTTTCCTAATATAGTTAAAGCCTGGAGAGGAAGATTCTTCCTAGAGGATCAGTGATGGGGATCAACAAGAGACCACAAAACGAGTGCCATTATACTGTAGCCCCTTCCCAAAGGAAACTAGATGAGGTGTCTGCATTATCTTGAATCCCCTTGACTTCACCCACCTCCTGGGCCGAGGGCCACTTGTTCTGTCCCAGCAGCCCTGGGCTTGCTCTGCCCAAGGCAGAACCCCAAGCACCACCTTGGCTGGGGTTCTGACTGACTTTACCTGAACCCAATCTGACAGCACCGTATCTCATGTGCCCTATACACCACTTCCCTACAATCCTGGGAACGTCCCGTCCCCACTAACGTATGAGATACTGCAGATCTATTCCCTACTCAGGCCCAAGTAAATGGAACATCTAAGTGGGAGGAAGTTTCTGATCCCCGGAGGAAAGCTTTGACAAACAGGAGACAATAGCTGGAAGATAAACTATTTTCCCTTTCTCTCCCTGGACAGACTATCCTGATCTGCTCATACAGAGTCTTCTGGAAGACGATCCTCAAGACTGAACAGCTGGTTGTACTTGATACTAATCAGTAGCCAGACTGGTAACACCCCACATAGGATCCCCACCCTTTTCCTGTTTCACTCAAGCTTCCCTGGGATTCTACTTCCTAATGACATAAAAGGAGCACATAACGCTTTTACGCTAGGCTCTGTTTTCTGGGGAGAGGAGGCCACGATACAATCTGCAATCCCATCACTATGTGAGCGAGCTCCCTACCTTTTGTTGCAGCGGTGGTGCACACGGTGCTGAAACGGGATCCGTGATGTAGGTCTTCTTGGGACCAGCAACTGGATACATCCCAGGGGGGTTCTGGTTTCCTGTTCCAGAAGGAGTATACCCTTGCTCCCGCTTCCAGGTGTTTGGGTGACCTTGCTGACCATAAGCTGGATCGGTCTCATTTTTGCCCCCATAGCCAGGCCCCGCTGGGCAATAGGCTTCATAATAACGTCCTTGGTTAGGGGCATACCCATACCCAGGCTCAGGCTGAAGTCCTGGTGGTGGAATATAGGCATAATCCATGCCCCCTCGTGTTGAAGGAGGTGGGCACTGCCCAGAGATAGAAACTGGGGGAGTGTTATAGCCCTGGGGTCCTGGGCCTTGGCTGTAAAATTGTCCTGATGAAGGAGCAGCCATATAAAGAGAGCTGGGCTGGGCTGACTTCACCTGCACATTGAAGGTAGGCCTGGAAGGGGTCGATGCTGTCGTATAGGAAGCGGGGACCGGTGGAGGCTGGGGTTTTAGTGTCCCAATTGGTGCCACGGAGATGGGTCCAGCCTGGGGTGCAGGCTGTGGTTTCAATGTAGACTTTTTAGTTGCTGTTAGAGGCGGTTGGTTTGGTATAATCATTCTTTTGTGTCCTGTGACAGGGGTGGAGACTGGAGGAGAGGCTGTCGAGCTAGTAGAGCTCTAGAGTAGGAAAGAGAAAAGGATAAAAATAAAAAGTACAAAGATTACCATCAATGAAAAATAATAACACAGAAATGAACACATATTAGAAACTGCTATTATTATCTTGTATTAACTCTGTAAAACACAAATAAGGCATGGTTCCTGCCTTCTGAAAATTCACAAACACATACACAAATCAGGTGCATTTTTTGGTACTAGCAATGAACGACTCCCCCCAAAAATTAGGAAATGATTCTGTTTACAATTACATCAGAATTAAAAAAAATAAATAAAACCCTTAGAATAAAGCTAACCAACAAGGGCAAAAGACTTACATCGAAAAAGTAAAAATACTGCAGAAATAAAGACATAAATAAATATGAAGACATCCTGTGTTCATGGACTGGAAGACTTAATATTATATAGGTTAATAATACCCAGAGTATTCTACAGATTTAAGGCAATCCCTATCAAAATTCCACTGGCAATTTTATAAAAATAGAGAAAATTCAGCCTAAAATTCATAGGGAATCTGAAGAGACTCTGAATACCCAAAACAATATTGAAAAAGAACAAAATGTAGATCTCATGCTGTGTAATTTCAAAACTTATTACAGAGCCACCAAAATCCAAACAATATGACAGTGGCATCAAGACAGATGCACAGACCCACAGAATAGGACAGAGAGTCCAGAAGTAAACTCTTGCTTGCACAAGTAATTTCTGATGAGGGTGCCAAGATCATTTGTTAGGAAAGGATAACCTTTTCAACAAACAGTGCAGAAAACTGGATATGTACATGGAAAAGAGTGACCTTGGACCCTTACCTTACACTATACACAAAAAGTAACCCAAATTTTTAGCTCTAAGTGTTAGAGCTAAAACTACACACACACACACACACACACACATACACACACACACACACACACACACACACACACTTATAGAAGAAAACACGGGGAAAAACAAAATTTCATGACATTGGCTTTGGCAATTTTTCCTTTTAATTTAACACTGAAAACACTAGCAATAACAACAAAAATAAACGAAACAATGTGATTTCAATCAAATTACCCAAAGACTTAGTCACCATTCAGCTAAAAGGAGATACCAGGGAAAGAGAACAGAGGACCAGGCCAAGGGAAAGAAAAACTAAAGTGAAGAGAGTTGTTGAGAGAAACACCCCCAGCCCAACCAAGATGCTAAATTTTAGAACAAAGTTTCCTGTCAAAGAGTGATTGACCAAAGATAACTCAAACGCTGACTCCTCCTCCTTTTCTATCTGTCCGATTTCTCTTGTAGTCATTCATTCAATTCAGAAACACTTACTGAAGATTCTAAGACTGTTTAAGGACACAAAGATGAAAAGCTCTCACTGCCAAAACATGAGATGTCTTGGTTGGGCTGGGGATAAGGACAGGCTCGGGGAAAGCCTGGAGATTTAAACTTCCATCCTCGGGCATTAGACGATTAGGGATCCGAAAATGCGCCAGTGACAGAATGTTTTCATGTTACTCTGAGTTACAATGATTAGATTTGTTGCTCTAACAAAGGAATGACCACACCCTGATTTTGTTGTTTATTAATTTCCAAGCAAATTAATGTATGCATAGAAAGGGAGAATGCAAGGCCTTATACTACTCTAGTGTCATTCATCCACACCAAGACACTAAGGATATGTAGCTCGTGGGAAAGACGCTGCTAACTGCTTCTTCATGTCTACTTCCCTTCTTCATTACTCAAAGAATTTCAATTCTATTCAAGGAACAATGTGCACAACTTAAAATACTTCCCTTGACTATGTAGTAGATAGGAGTTGCCTTGGGACACAGTTCTGACCAAAAAGATATACGCTAAGCATTTCTGGGAAAACAAACACTCTCCTGATTAAGCATTGTCCCTCCTTTGCCCATTTCCTCTTTCCTGCCTGATATGTGGATGTGGGATCATAGATGGGGTAGCTATCTTGTCCCCTCCATAATACGCAAGTCTTTCGATTCAGACCTATAGCTTTCTGATCATCTACGTTGATCAGGGGTATTTGGTTAACTTATAGTGATTCTCAACTGGAGAAGAAAAATCACCTACTGACCAGGGAAGTTTGGGAATGAGGGGGATAACTTGATTGTCATGGTGACTAGGGGACACTATTACCACTGCTTGGCAGACAGCAAAACACATCATTGTCAAACCCAAGATGGCAACAGTGCTCCTGATGAAAAACACGGATCGATTCTTGGGCCTCATTTCTTCTGTCCACCTACCTGTGAAGTTCCCAGATGTGAGCCTAGGTCGTCACTGGTCCTCTCTAGCATCTCTCCTCTACAACACTCACCACTTCTTGGTCCAAAATAACTGCTCTCCCCCTTTGTCCCCGTGAGCCTCGACAACATGACAGCTTGGACTCTGCTAGCTTCAGATTACTGCTCTGTCCCTTCAGGCTTCTCTCTACTCAAATGGGCCTGGGTACACACGGCATTTATGAGTTGGCTTACTACCATTTGTGTTGGGATCCTGACTGCTACAGCTCTGTTCCACATTTTATTTGTCTCAAATTCTATTTGTGTACTTTCCTGGGGAATTTGTAATTCTAGGTGTAGTTCTCTTGAGTTATAAGAGGCTGTTGAATACAGCCATCATTTATCCCCTCCCCCTTTTAATACTAGCCTTTCAGGGGACAAACTTGCTAATTACTTTTGTAATTTAAGCAACCTGAGTAATATCGTCTTGGCAGAGTAGCTTTTCCCTTCTGCATGAAGAAGGCTCCAGTAGTACCCAAGAGAAAGAGATTCAATTTCCTTTTCAGCAATGTATTAAAATACATATCCTGAAGAAATTCCTAAATAAGTACGCAGTTAAGATCCTGACATTTTGTAGTAGAAACCACGGTAGAGACAATTTGAACCAAAAAAAGGTCATTTTTTTTTCCTAGTCAACCATGTCAGTCTTAAAAAATGTCAGCATCGATGGAAATGAATATAAGAAGGAATAAAGCTTTTCTTTTCTTTGATGACTCAAGATCAGCAGAAACCCAGAGTTCCTATTTTGAACACTTTACAAACCCAACTATAAATGGAGACAGTGACTGAGCAACTGGGCTAATGACAGGCACACTCTCTGCTGCAGCTGTAACGAAGTCTGCCCCCAGAGCAGATCCTTCAAAAGTCACCGATTTGAAAATGAAAGCCAATGACTGGATAAAGTAAAGCAAAAAGACTTAATGTCGACCTAACTCTTTAGAAGAAACTTTGTTCCAACATAATTCTCTCTTTCTTTTTTAAGATTTTATTTCTTTAGTTGTCAGAGAGAGAGCACAAGCAGGCAGAGACAGAGAGAGAAACAGGCTCCCTGCTGGACAAGGAGCCCAACGTGGGACTTGATCCCAGGACCCCGGGATCATGACCTGAGCCAAAGGCAGCAGCTTAACTGACTGAGCCACCCAGGTATCCCCAATTCTCTTTCTCTTTCTTTCTTGATGAACCCAGACCCAGACCCTGATCCAGACAGACAGACAGACACACACACACACACACACACACACACACACACAAACACACACTTTAAACAACTCCCAAGTCTTTGAAGGAAGGCATCAGGGCACAAATTCAATAGCCATCGCTTTCTTCTAGGAAATATCTCGCCAGTACAGCTCTCCTCGAGGGATGAGAAGGTTTCTCACAACTTTATTATGAATTCTGCTGTGTATGTGCCGGCATGTTTCTGAGTATTTCCTATATCATAACTACGTTAGTGAAAATAGCACATTTAGCTATATTTTTTTCCCCTGCGATTTTACATTCTTTACCTCATTGGAGGTGGAAGGGGTAAAGAACAAGAATCATTTTAAAGCATATTTATTTATGTTCTTCATAGTTAAAGAAAGCTATGGCAACATTTTCCTGGCCCACATATTCAATTAAATACATAGTGAATCTTTTCTACTCGCTGAATTAGTTGGCACTTCCGAGTATTTATTTTTGGCATATCGTTTCCTTTTTGTTTTTGCAGAGATTCTTAAAGTTTTATCATGATTTAACATTTTTATTTTGAAAATCAAGCACATTTTAAAATTATGAATATATATATATATATATATATATATATATATATATATATACATCCCCTGAGACTTGAATCTCTGTAACAGTCTTTTTATGGGGTTATTTTTCCATTAATTATTCTCTAAGGATCTTGGACATGTAAAGTTCTGTGAGGTTGATGGGAGAAGGGCAATATCCTCAGATGAGGGGTGCATGTCTCCCTGTCCCCTGGGAGTTTCTAGTCAGGTGGAAGGGCTAATACATAATCAGTAGCTGTTGAATGGATGTTCCCATTACCAGGGAAGAACTGGCTGCGGCCATAAAAACAACAAAAGACTAGGGGTGCTGACGGCAACTCTCATGCTCACCCTGTGGGCCACGTCCTCGACTTCCTATATATCCAAGTCAGGATAACATCTTACAGTTCCTCAGTCTCTCTCTTGCCTCTGCTCACCCACTCCCTGGACGTGCCTGTACATACACATGCGCGCACACGCATGCATACACACACACACACACACACACACACACACACACACACTCCCCTACTCTACTCTACTACTACGTCTTCTATGGAAGTCCGCATATTTCTTAGAACCATGCACTTGACTCCAGTTTCATTTTCCTTCCCCTACTATTTGTCTCCAACCCCATTTCCCTGAGCTATTTATTGCCATCAGTGAACTCCACTTCTTTCTTTCTTCCCTTTCTCAATAACACCAGGGTCATCTAACGTGACTGAGCCTGATCCCCATCTGCAAATGACTGCCTTGTGTTGAATTCTTTTTATGACATTTCACTCTTTGTTTTGTTTTATTTTTTTAAATATGCTTTGCAAAGACTTTCCAGTCTAGCCCCTGCCTCCCTGTCCAGCCACCTCCTTTTTTCCACCACCACTCACATCACAACACACTCCAGCAATTTCAGGCATATGCAGAGACTGGAATAGATCACACAGTTATGTCTGTACTCATA